TGTCCCAGTCTTGGAGATTCACGCCCTACTTCTACATATCACAGTCTGTCCCAGTCTGGGACCTTCACGCGCCACTTCTACATCTCACAGTGTGTCCCAGTCTGGGAGCTTCAGGCCCCACTTCTACATCTCACAGTGTGTCCCAGGCTTGGAGCTTCACGCCCTACTTCTACATCTCACAGTGTGTCCCAGTCTGGGACCTTCACACCCCACTTCTACATCTCACAGTGTGTCCCAGGCATGGAGCTTCACGCCCTACTTCTACATCACACAGTGTGTCCCAGTCTTGGAGCTTCACGCCCTACTTATACATCTCACAGTGTGTCCCAGTCTGGGACCTTCACACGCCACTTCTACATCTCACAGTGTGTCCAAGGCTTGGAGCTTCACGCCCTACTTCTACATCTCACAGTGTGTCCCAGTCTGGGACCTTCACGCGCCACTTCTACATCTCACAGTGTGTCCCAGTCTTGGACCTTCACGCCCTACTTCTACATCACACAGTGTGTCCCAGTCTGGGACCTTCACGCCCTACTTCTACATCTCACAGTGTGTCCAAATCTGGGACCTTCACGCCCTACTTCTACATCTCACAGTGTGTCCAAGTCTGGGAGCTTCAAGCCCTACTCCTACATCACACAGTGTGTCCCAGTCTGGGACCTTCACGCCCTACTTCAACATCTCACAGTGTGTCCCAGTCTTGGAGCTTTACGCGCCACTTCTACATCTCACAGTGTGTCCCAGTCTGGAACCTTCACGCCCTACTCCTACATCACACAGTGTCCCAGTCTGGGACCTTCACGCCCTACTTCTACATCTCACAGTGTGTCCCAGTCTGGGACCTTTACGCCCTACTCCTACATCACACAGTGTGTCCCAGTCTGGGACCTTCACGCCCCACTTCTACATCTCACAGTGTGTCCCAGTCTGGGACCTTTACGCCCTACTCCTACATCACACAGTGTGTCCCAGTCTGGGACCTTCACGCCCCACTTCTACATCTCACAGTGTGTCCCAGTCTGGGACCTTCACGCCCTACTTCAACATCTTACAGTGTACTCTAAGCATGGATCCTCCACGCCCTACTTCTACATCTCACAGTGAGTTCTAAGCATGGATCCTCCACGCCCCACTTCTACATACTCACAGTGTGCTCTAAGCATGGATCCTCCACACCCTACCCCTACATCTCACAGTGTGTTCTAAGCATGGATCCTCCATGCCCCACTTCTACATACTCACAGTGTGCTCTAAGCATGGATCCTCCACGCCCTAGCCCTACATCTCACAGTGTGCTCTAAGCATGGATCCTCCACGCCCCACTTCTACATACACACAGTGTGCTCTAAGCATGGATCCTCCTCGCCCTACTCCTAAATCACATAGTGTGCTCTAAGCATGGACCTCTACGCACCACTTCTACATCACACAGTGCGCTCTAAGCAGGGATCCTCCACGCCCTACTCCTACATGTTCTAAGCATGGATCCTCCCCGCCCTACTCCTACATCACACAGTGTGCTCTAAGCATGGATCCTCCACGCCCCACTTCTACATACTCACAGTGTGCTCTAAGCATGGATCCTCCACGCCCTAGCCCTACATCTCACAGTGTGTTCTAAGCATGGATCCTCCACGCCCCACTTCTACATACTCACAGTGTGCTCTAAGCATGGATCCTCCACGCCCTAGCCCTACATCACACAGTGTGTTCTAAGCATGGATCCTCCACGCCCCACTTCTACATACTCACAGTGTGCTCTAAGCATGGATCCTCCACGCCCCACTTCTACATACTCACAGTGTGCTCTAAGCATGGATCCTCCACGCCCCACTTCTACATCTCACAGTGTGCTCTAAGCATGGATCCTCCACGCCCTACTCCTACATCTAACAGTGTGTTCTAAGCATGGATTCTCAACACCCCACTGATACATCTCACAGTGTGCCCCAAGCATCGTTTCGCCAACGCTGGAACACCCATGCCTCATGTATTTATGATCATGTTTACCTCCTCAGTAGCTCAGTAGATATCTCTAATGATACAGTTGGATAGCTTATGTGTTCAGGGTTGATACTTACATCTTCAGTATGGATAAAGTAGGTAGTTTACGATTCGTGTTTTACCTGTGTTTATAAATACATTTTGGCTAAGCAAGTCAGGCTATTGGAATCGCCGGCTGTCCAGAAGAGATAAACCTCTCTGAGGTCCGCGCGCAGCATATTTATACTTCTTCGTTTGTTTGTTTGCACTCAGCACTATTCCAGCTATATGACGCCAGTCTGTAAATAATCAAGTCTGGACCAGACAATCCAGTGATTGACATCATGAGATCGATACGCGCAATTGGGATATGATGACATGCATCAACCAAGTCAGCGAGCCTGACCTCCCGACCCCGTTAGTCGCCTCGTAGGAAAAGCATCGTCGCCTTTTACTTCTGTCACGATCTTGTGTCTTACATGTACAGTTCTCCACGAAAATGTTGAATTTTCTAAATTTATATGTTTTCCGTACATGGTGCATATATCGAAAGAGATATTTGTCAGGTTTGCAGAGAGTTGACCTGTAACATCGCAGAGAGGTACGCCCCAAGTACTACTTCAACATCACCTCTACAGCAAGAACAAGATTAGGAAAGTATGTGTTCACTGGAGATGCGTAATTAAGACATGTACATGGATGTGCACGACAGTCGGTGATATTGTGAGGAGTCACAATGAACACAGCCATCCGCCAGTTGACACAACCCGTGCCAAGTTCATAAGCACAATGAGGAAACGAGCCCCAGAACTGCCTATGGCCCTCTACCAAGACGTAGTGCTCAGGGACGATCTAAAGGATGCCTCCTTCATTTCCATCACATTCACCCCTTGACACCACCTGGGTTGACGATTCGTCACTCTTCACTATTCCAATGCGGAAACACCATGAGACATACGGTCCTAGAACCAACAACAGCCTTGAAGGTTTCCTCTGAAGGCCAGTCTGTCCTGCCGAAACACAAACATTTTCCGTCTTATCGAGATCATGAAGTGAATCGAAAAAGCAGACAAAATGAAAATTGGTCAGTTGGGCTCCTCCACCTCGGAGTTTCCCGAGAGCTAGAAAACCGCCTTGGTAGACTCAAAGACCAGTTGACTCATGGGGTCAAGACCGCAATGCAGTATTTGGGTGCTGTGTTCAGACTGGTGAAACTGGTTTGGCTCTTGTTAAATTATATGTGTGCCTATTGAAGCCTATCAATATTATTAAAGCCCATTTGTTAATTGTTTCGTATATTTTCGTGACGTGTCTGACAAATCAAATGGAATATGATCGGGACTAATACATGTTACTACTTGGGTGACATGCATTTGACATTGGGAGAAGTCAACTGTGACATTTGTGATTTTAAGGTGTGTGATAAATTGGGTGAGACTGCCTGTCCACGCATTTGATCGGTACCTTGTCAAAGTGTTGTTTAAGCTACTCTCATTTTATTACTGTAATACAGTTGTTTAGCTAAGCCGCTTGTGTATTTGCTCTGATGTAATTAATCAGTTATCTTTGCCCATGCACATAGGGTTTATCTGATCTTATATTATCACCTATTGGTATAATTAGCTGTTATTAATAAACATGTGAACCTGTTACCATGTTTTCATCATTATATTATACTTTTTTGACACCCCTGTTCATTGTAGTACAGCTCCATGACAGTTACAAAACCCAACACACTTAGTCATACATATTTAGATGTGTGGTGAAATCGGTTTAAAACAACGTTAAAACGTTGTAGATATCCCGTGCAAGCACGTGTGTGTATGGCTGCTTGTACTAGTTTCACTAATAGCATGTGCTCACAGAGATGCCATGCAGAAATGTTAACATAAATACACCACTCAGACACAGTATACTGACTACGAGTCAACCAGTCATTGTCTAAACCCATTTATGCCGAGCGCCGGGAAGGATAACAAAACAAATTTAAAGCAAACGGTAATCTCCCATGAACAACGAACACAAACTAGCCCTGATCCTGATTCTATAAACGGGCCTCCGCGGGCCTTGCCGGTTTGAGTGTAAACAACGAAATCTTAATCATAAGAAATCTTGACTAAAGTACGATTCCGACTATATCATAAGAAGTGTTTATGAATTACTATGAAATAGAGATCATACCAGCTGTTCATGAAAAGGTGGGGTATCCTGCCCAACCGAAGGCACTAGTCACAAAGACATGCAATGGCAAGTCTATTGTTCACCTGAAAAAAACCACGGGAACATATTGTACGAGTCACAATAGGGAATTGCATCTACCATCCAAAGCGAATTACAAAAGTTACTGGGTTGTTTGCAGTGAACATGTACTCACTCAGATAGTTTTACCAAAATCTGAAAAAAAACATTAATCAAAGATGCCATCCCCTACTTTCTATGAAAACATGTAGTATCTTCCTGTGTACGGCTGTTTGACAATGTAAAATGAATATCTGTTTGGCTTCTTAAGGGCAAATAAGGTACACCCAGCTTGTTTTATTTTCATTGAAAACTGAAAGTTGAAAGAACTGTTGTTAAATGAGATTACATGTATGTCTTTTAACCATCACTCATTCTTGCAACAGTATGCAAAAGGTGATCTGTGGCTGGGTAATTTGCGCAATAATAAATTGGTTCAACGAAGACTGAGGAAATGAATTTGCAACCACATGACCCTACAATGTTTGAAATGTAGATTTATTTCCAAAGATACGATGTGTAAGATATCAACCAGCAGTAGAAAATTACACGTTTTCTTCTTTTAATTTTTAATCCGTAAAATGGCTGAAATATTTAGGCTTTTTGTAAATTGGCTATGTTACACATTACAAGAGACATATATACATCATTCTCCATGTATTTTATACCGAAACTACAGAGGTATGCATGGTACGTAAAAGAAATAGACATTGTTATTAAATTCAGTTCATATATATTTGTAATAAGACAGCGTTCCCGCGTTATCCCCCGGAAGTGACGTTTGTGTCACAGAGAAGGAAGTTAAATGTCCAGGTAGGTGTGTTGTGTCTCGTCTCTCACTTTGTCGCCCTACACACAGATAAATGTTCGATAATCAGGGTCACAACGTCCATGTATATGTCAAGATACTATCAGGCTGCTGAAGGTGGTGCCTATACCTTGATTCGTACTGCGTATATCCTGAATGTTAGTGTTAGCTGACTACCACATATTTCTATTTTCGGTTTACAGCGTGGCCGGTCTTCATGTACACAAGTTATGACCCACTTTTACTGTTAAAGTGTATAATAGAAAACCCTCGGCCATGTCGCCGTGTTTAACAGAGGAAGGGTGTGCAGGTAGGGAGAATTTACGTTTCAAAGGTTTACGTTTGTAATGACTGACTGCCACACATTACTACCCTCGCTTTACAACGAGTCCAGTCGTTATTCATACAAGTCATGACCTACTTTAACTATTGTTATATTGTGTATAGATAAACCCTGGTCGTGTTGGATAACCGTTGACGCGCGGTGTGTACAGACATGTACCATTTAACACTAGACTGCTATTGATTGTGCTTACATGACATATCCTGAATGGAAGCACACGTTGTTACTGTGATGGTATTTGTGGTCGCTTTGTGATCCTGAATGCAGAGTGAAGGAACTGGTTCTTTTTTGCCTGAGTGCATGAAGCGTATATGGTGTATGTGAATGCACATGTAGTGTGCTGCAACAGGTTAGTGCCAAACATTTTTCTTGCCAGTGATATAAATCCTAAATTATTCTGTTGACATTAGGCTAGTGCATTTGGTCTCAGGGGGGTTATCTCAAGGAGCAATATATTTTGTTTCTTTGTTTGTTGTTTAACGCCGCACCGCAATATTCCAGCTATGTGACGGTGGTTTGTCAAAAATTAGACCAGACAATCCAGTGATTGACATCATGAGTAACGATCTACGCAGCTGCGATACGATGACATGCATCAACCAAGTCAGCGAGACTGACCCCCCGATCCCGTTAGTCGCCTCTTACGACAAGCATAGTCGCCTTTTATGGCAAGCATGGGTTGCTGAAGACCAATTACAGGTCCTTGATATTTCAAATATTGCACATATTCAAATTGTAGTCTAGTTAACAATAAGGGATAGCTATGTAATATTTGTTTTAGTGTACACTTGATCTTTATACGTACGTCTATGAAACTCGTGTCTGTCATTTAAGTTTTCTGTCTTTCAGAATGGACACCTTCCCAAAGTGTTCAGTCTGTCAGCAGCAGTTTACCCTGAAGGGTCCAGTCCCCTACTTACTGCCCTGTCTACACCCTGTTTGTGAGACGTGTGTGACATCTGCAGCTGGCGGTGTGATATCATGCTCTACATGTCAGAGGGAGGTCAACCTCACAGACACAAACCTTCAGAAGGATGCAGTGAGACAGAAGGAGATATTCCACCTGACAGTCAAACATCACGCAACAGAGCTCCTCTGTACAAATGATGATGACGGGAACCAAGCTGTGTGTTGGTGTCAGGAGTGTGAAGAGTTCCTCTGTGAATACTGCCAGAACATGCACAGCAGCATCAAACTTACCAGGAAACATGTACTTCAAAACTTCAGTGACATGGCACCGACTGCTTCGAATATTCCAGCCTTCTGCAGTATCCATAAACACCATCTCCTTTATCTGTTTGATAAAAGCTGCAAAAAGTTAATCTGTGGGAAATGTAGGTTTGATGTCCACGCAGACCGTGAAGTTGTGGAGTTGGACGTGGCTGCTGATACTGTAACAAAACAGTTGAACCATCATACGGATGAGCTATCAACGTTACAGGCTCGCCAGCAATCACACATGCAGAGCATCAGACAGGGAACTGAATCCACCGACAGAACAAACGACTCTTTGATAGAAACTATTTGCCACACATTCCAATCTCTGAGATCACAACTTGACCAAAGAGAGAAGGAACTTCTGATCGATCTTGAAAGTCAGACGAAGGAGACCAAGGCAACTCTATATGCTCAACTCACCACCTGTGAAGAAAAATGGAAGACATGCACTGGGCTTTTAGACTACATCGCCAAAGTCCTCCTCTATGCTTCAAAGTCAGACCTCGTGGAACTGGAGAGTTATGTAGAGGACATAACTCGGAACTATCTAGAAACTGCTGCGCCTCAAACACATGTCGTACCTACAGCTGTCTTCAACACTAACAGCTTGTCAACACTGAAATCAAACATATCAGTGTTTGGTGCCATTTTGCCAAGGGGAGTGGATGAGGAATCTGTGAAAGGTATTCACATTGAACATCATTGTAGTTTTGGTTATTCTTTGTATGTGTACAATGTTTGCATGTTCTTGTGACATTCTATCGTTTAAACCCCCCTTTTTCTTCACGTGTTTCTCTATTTAAGACTCATGCTTTGTTTTGTTTTTAAAGATTTAAAGTTTGTAGACTGCACTTAAGACGTTCCCGGTGTTAATCATCAGTAGTTATTCGTCTGTTGTTTCAGACAAGGATACTCAGACTGACGCTGATGTTATGGCAGACTTGGAAATGAAACACAAAATGGTGAGTAAAATCAGTGTTGGTACATCATGAATTCTTGCATGCACACTGACCAACAAACTGACCAACTACAGGTTGATCCAAAGCAAATTTGCCTCAATCGCCATCACTTTGTTTTATCATATTGAGACAAAGTGCATCAGACCATTTAACGCTTGTATTTTTTGCAGGACCTAACAGAGCTGAAGACGAAAATTGGTTCAGACGAGAAACATATGCAGGGCCTCAAAACACTTACAGACAAGCTCAATGCTGAAATCAAAAGCTTGAAATCGGTTTGTTTTTATTATCTTGCATGTATTCACATCTTTAGACATGTCAGCGTCTACCCTTATATTCAAATATGTTTGTTACAAAGGAAACATCACATTCTGAAATCACAATATTTTAAACATTTTAAAGCTGTTGTGCGCTTGTTAACACAATGATTCCCTTTCCTTCATTTTAAACATCCCAGTTAGGATTGATCATTTGAGATGATGGTAAGCGTGTGTGTGTATGGGTGTGTGTGTGTTTGTTCTCTGAATAAATGGCCATCCCCTTAATCTTAAAGCGCCATGAGAGTGTCATGAATTCTTGATATAGATTGCAACCGTAAATTTTTTCACGTCCTTGAAATTCTAGACCCGTGAAATGCCATGACAGCCACGTGCTTTGTTATATAACACATATGCTATATTTTCAGTGCATTGACGAGAAGGAAACCTCAGAGAAGAGAGCCTCTAAAACCATCGATGTCTTACTTGGTAAATTTGTATCACACTTCTTCTTTGACCTCCCTTAGTCACATAATTTCAGATACATTTGACAACTGAACATGCATCTCCATGGCCGTGAGTGGTAAACAGAGTAAAACCCCCACACGAAGTCCCCTGTCTCATCACACATGTATATGGTCATGTATATATATTGATGTTACAGGTGTGGCCACAGATTGCGGTGTTCATCTGCTGAAGTCAGAAGTTGTAGACAGATCTATGGTGCTGAAGTGTGAGTACATTTATCATGTATCTCCTTCGATATAAGTTTTGATGTACATCGTGTTCAAGTAATATGAAACGTCAACACGTATGGAACATTTAGTCATACACTACGATTGATGGGCACAGAGTAGCTAATTGGCTCATGCTTGGGCTAATGAAGGTCAGGCGCTGGCAGTCTTTGTGTGTCATTGGCTTGTTTACCTGGCCCATGTTAATTACCTACAGGACACGTTGGTAACTGTGTACAACATCAGTTATTATAGATTAATGTTGCTATATGATTAATTCACAACGCGTTGGTGTGACGTTGATTTATTAATGATTATTTGTATACTCGTATATGCATAGGGTCCGTGTACGTTTCTCTGTAGGATGTGGAAACATGGAGTCGATAGAAGGCTTGCGGTATATACACATTGCTTTAGACAGGTAGATATATGTATATACAAGAAGCACTAGGTGCCAGGTCAGCACATTCTGTTGGTGCCACGGATCGCCTAACCTACCCCTAGCTAGGCTCAGGGTGCGGCTATATTTCTTTTTCACAAGTCCAAATATTTCATATCCATGGTCAACAGACACGGATTAAGTCAATAATATAAACAACAGTAAATAATGAGTGACAAAGTTGCACACCTCGTTCAGGATGGCTGACAGTCGACGTACAATACAATTGAGATTTGCATATTTTAAGTAATTGCAATTAAGATAATAGACATATGTATTTTATGGCTACAGGGTAATTCGCCTTTGTTCATGCAGACAAAGGTCGCTATAACAAATCTTATCTTACGAAAAATATTAGCCAGAGGGGTGAGTGAGTGTATTGTGATTAACGCCACTTTAAAAATCAATTATCTTATATGATTTGGTAGCAGCTTAACATAGGTGAAAACCCCAAAGTAATGCAGGTCTTACACCTTCAACCTTCTGATGAAGAACCCAAGAGCTGACAAATGATATTCTGGGCTAATTTTGAAATCAAACCAAAGATCACACAATTCTGCCACGCCTCGTTATAACGAATAAGTTAGAAGTAAAACAAACATAGTAAATATAAAGTCTAGTGCCTTGGTGACACTAAAGAGTGAATGCGCGAATTGGGTTGAACCCCACTTTAAAATGTATTTCCGTGATTTACAGACATGTCTGCTTGTGTGGGAGGAACGGACAAAGTGATACAGGCATTAGGCATTTGTCATGTATGAGGTCCTTACAAACATGATCAGGGATAATCTTGGATTAGAATCCACGAGCATAGGTTTCTGAAATTCGTCAGCAAATTGGGCTGCCAGAGGCGACTTGGCGACCAATGCTACGACATGAAAGCCATTCGGTGGAATTAACTGCTTACAATTTATGAGATGGGGGGTGACAGTGGTTTCAGTGGTTTCCAACAGTGTTTCCTACTGCAGCTAAAATTTATCGAGGAAATGAGCAGGAAAATACCGACTGAAATATTCAAGCAACGTGACAGCGGTCTGTAAATATTCGAGATCGAGTCTGGATCAGACAATCCAGTTATTGACTTTATGAGCATCGATCCACCACGCAATTGGGATACGATGACATGCATCAACTATGTCAGCGAGCCTGAACACCTGCTGTGAAGAAATGAGCGAGGAAAGAAGTGAGGGGGGTGGGGGAGGGTTGGGTGGTGACAGTTGTTTCCAACAGTGTTTCTCACTGCAGCTGTAACTTATCGAGGAAATGAGCAGGAAAATAAAGACTGAAAGCATAATCACAGACCACGGACATTGGAGACACACAAACTGCGAGCACCCTGGCCACCCGACCGCCATCTCAGACGACGTAATGGGGACCTTGAAGGGAAGAAAGACGATGCAATCACTGCCAGGCAGACATTTTTACACGTTTGATGCACCCTTAGGATGTTCTGTATATCGTGCAATATCTGCGAAGTTCGTTCTACTTCTAGGATGTAATATCTGAAACATTTTAACAGAAGCCTCACGATAATAAAAACTGAGCCAGTATGAAGTTGTCAGTGTTAATCGTGAGTATCATGTACAGGCAGGTACAGTGGACTGTTTAACCACTAAATTGGTCATGTTGTTACCATTGACACTGTTGTGTATGGTGGTGTGCGTGTGTGAATATTTTCAAGTACATCAATATTCTCGTGCCGATAAAGTCACCGTGTTACTGAGACGTGACAATATAGTCTCACAGACTTGGTTGTAAATAACCTGTGTGTCGCTCACATGTGAATACAAATGTGTGTTGTGATGTGTTAAGCAGATTATCGTTCCAGGGTAATGAAACTGCTATTGCAACGCGTTGAACATTATTTATACACTGTTTGTGACCCTAGTCCCCCAATACGTGGATATCAAGGTTCACACATTAAGATTTAAGACACTGGAACTTCTGCATGTATGTCTTGTCATTGTTCTTGCATCCGCCTCCTAACCTGCCCACATCTCAACTCTTTTATTATTATTTCCTTCGTTTGAACATTATAGACGGCGACTTGCGAAACGGACAATTTACAGGAGCTAATTTATTTTAAAGGCGAAATAGAGTTTGAAATATTGCATAGAGCATTACTACAAAACAATACCAAAAGTATCGAGTGATTGGAATGAATGGATGCGACATAGGAAGGACTAGTTGTAACATACCAATCAACAGAACATGTTGGCAGTGCATTGTAAGGGTACAAACAATCAAGGAAGGCGACATGCGTGTGTGGTAAAAAACATAAACGTTTGAGATGACTTGATCAATAATGAGTTATTCCCAACAACTGGTCAAACTGTCGTTTATGCTCGACAAGGTCCGAATCAATCTCCCAATGACAATTTGCAGGATTCTTGTCACTTAATGTTGCAGCGGATGGCCCAATTCGGCTAACGGCGTACACGTCCCCGGATTATGCGTTATAGGGGAGAGATCAGAACTCATGGCTGCTCATTGCAATCTTGTGATGTTTTGCTGTTGGAGGTAGTCATGAACGACATTATCGTCTTGAAAGGCAAAACGTGGACTAGCATGCAGCGAAAACGGAACTACTATCGCCGCTAGCATGCTATCTCGGTAGTACTGTCCAGTGACTGTCTTACATGTATGGACAATATGCAGTGGCGTATTGGCAGTCAAAGTGATCCTGCCCCATATCAGTACAGAGCTCGCAGCGATTTTGACAAAATCAAGAATGACCCCCTAGCCAGTGCACGGAGGTTACCCACGTGAGTTGTTTCGGGTGTGTTGGGGCGTTAGGTTTTAGTTCCAAAAACTGTTCCATCTCTGGCATCCATATTTCTGGCGTGTCCAATGGACGCAACTCTGCACAGCTAATCGAGGTTTTCTTCTGACGACCGATCGTAACATTTCTCATCATCATGTACAGTTTTGGAGAGCAAAGACCGTGGCGATAGGTATAGTTACAATCATAGAAAACTGAAGCAAATGATATTGAAATATCACACCATCAATGAGGCATTATTCAAAATACAAAATGCACTTAGTGCTGATGAGTAACATATGACATAGGTCTTGGGTGAGGTGAGGTAAAATTGGGTTTAACGTCGCGTCCATGATTATTGCACTTGTGTGTGGCTGCTTGTAAAAGTCCGGACTGATGCCGATTTATATGCTTGCTCACTGAGATACCATGTGGCAGTTTAACATGAATACCCCACTCAGACACAGTATACTGACTCCGAGCCGACCAGTCCTTGTTTTAGCCCCTTAATGTCCAGCCACAGACAGGGTAACAACAAGTATCATCTTTTAACGTCTTTTCGTATGACGCGGCCGGGGATTGAACCCCGGACCTTAAGCTCGCGAAGCTCTAGTAAATAGCGTTATTGACTTGTATTTACAGGTTATATTTTGCTAATTGGGGTTTGCGTCCATTGACAAAAATTATTTAAAAACATTTCCTATTTCATAATAATCAATAAAATTATCCCTACTTGTCACCGACCAGTTATCGCCATTTTTCATGTTATTTCTGAAATATCCCACGTTCAAAGTTAACTGTGCAATACACTTTGAAAATGGGCAAATGTGCGTATTTCTGTCAGTGGAAAAATCCAATTCTGCTAACGTAGACGGTAGCCGTTGACGTCGTTGTACAAGTCCCTGCATTATGCGTTATAGGGGAGAGATCAGAACTCACGGCTGCAAGCTCCTCGCAGCGATAGCCCGTTCGCGGAACACTCTATACCATCGCTGCCACCAGTCAATTATTTGAGGGACATACATCTGTTGATTTTCTAATCCTGACAGTCATTTAGTTTCAACATTGCGTACAATCATACAAATGTTATTTGTTATGTCATGGAAAGATTTAAGTCGCTTTAATTTAAATCTTTCTGTCATTTCTCACTGAAAATACTATCTCACTGCTTTAAATATCACTTTTTCATTTTTCATAACCTGCATCGTGAAACTCTAGTAAACAGCGCTATTGATTTGTATTTACAGGTTATATTTTGATAATTGGGGTTTGCGTCCATTGACACATTTTTTTGAAAACATTAACTATTTAATAATGATAAACTTATCCCTACTTGTTAACGACCAGGTATCGCCAATTTTCATGTTATTTCTGAAATATCCACCTTTCAAAGTTAACTGTGCAATAAACTTTGCAAATGGACAAATGCGCGTATTTCTGTGCATAGAAAAAAATCAGTAGCTTCCTGTTATAACACGACAACAGGGAATCAAAACAGTGGAAAAAGAAATTTTCCATCGACAAACTGTACCAGTTATCGCCATCATCTAAACAGCACGTGCCACGTGATAAAGCACACCGCTTCAGTTTTACAAATTACATTTTTTATTTTCTCTGGTATCGCAAGCTGTTTTTATATTTGTTACAATTAATAACAAATGCTTTTATCAATTTGTCTTCTGCAAACTGAAGTAGACCAATGTGATCTACACGCTATGTACTATGGATTTCGCGATATATACAGGGTTATTCACATTTGGAAAATAGCTCAAATAGGTTTTAGAATTGTTTTGGGGGGAAGAAATGACAGACAGAAAGTAAGCTATGACAGATCTGAAAGTGGATCATCGTGTTGTTGGATTTTTGTTTCCGCGTCAGTTAGTCACGTGACACCGCCCGCGTGTCTCTTCTAAAGTTGTATTTCAGCAAGGTGATTATATGGAATGTTTTTTAATATTTATTCACAGGGGTAATTTTTGTTTATCATTTGTAGATACATATTTATCTCTTCTAATGAAACCGAGCAAAGGTAAAACGAGATGCGATCACGTGTGCGTTGTAGCGAGGACTAAGCGATAATTGGTCTTCGTCGACAGCTGGTCACTGGTCAGTTTTCAGGGTAACATGCGTGTTCACAGTTAGTTAACGGGAAAGTTCTCTTTCTACTCGTAATTCCTTCTCTGTGGTATAATAGAAATCAACCTATATGTTGTCCACGCAATGACATGAGCGCATTTGATCTTAATTTCACAAAATCAAATGTTTGGTGTGATGTTTTCGATACCAATTTTCAGAAATAACTAGAATGAAATTGACAACAATTGTTCATCTGCTGGCATCTGCTTTTGAAACTGAGAGCAATCAAATAGCAGGCGCCTCGGCTGGAGCGGTGTCGACATGATTTGCTCGTTCTGGGCGGGCGGCTGGTCTATTTCGCACGTGCCTCACGACGTTTCTTCTGACAGCAAAGCGCGAGGACATTTCAAAATATATTTGTATATTTACAATTAATTAAATTGCTGTTTGGTTTTCGTTTACAGAAGAACACTTTAATATACTCCAAATAAAATAATAGCAGAATGTTCCAGAAATATTTCAAACATGACTTGTTCACTACATTTAATGTCGCTTATTGTTTATTGTGTTATTGACTGTTTGTGTCCTGTTCTGACAATGTTGCCCATCTTCTGTCTCCCATCGCCAAATCCCCTCGCCCCATGTGCGTCCTCCAACGTGCTACACAATACTCCACCAACTACCGGATGACGTCACCAGGTCACGTGACACTGTGATCTCAACATCCTCATTTTAAGCTTCTTCCTCATTATACCGCGTTCACTCGTGTTTCTGTTAAACGACGGTGAACAAGTGTGATCGCGAGTATTCGCGCTCTGCGTGATTATTGCGCGATGTGTATCCTTTTGTTTTAGTAATTCAGAATCTCCACAGCAAATATTTCAGTGACGAACCTCTTACACCAGACCTGTTACTAACTTATTTTACATTCGGGTTAAAAGATTACAGAATACATACACTAAAACGTAATACACAGAAGGTCTGATGTTCATACTACTGCACTGTGATTATATTACACTATTTGTATATCAGTACATTGTACTTAGCTGTGCATTCCTTGCAATTGGATATCTTTGTACAACTTTAATATCCCAATTTGTCTCATGTGTTATTCACTTATAAACTACATTCATATGTTGTAGGTATACATCTGAAGTATGACAAAGACAGAGTCAATCTCGACTTGGTCCACATCAACACAGAAGGAGACCTGGTCAACAGGAAGTCGGACACCAGACCTGCAGGGGAGGGGAGACTGAAGAAGTACTGGGGCACATGTAGCACTGCCCCCCTCCCCCGGGCTGGCTGTCCCCAGTACTGGGAGATGAAGTCTAGGGTCAGTCTGGACAAACCACTCACAGAGGCCGACCTCATCCTGGAGGTGGGTGTATGCAGGGAGGAGCAGAGGGACGTGTCTCATCATCTAGGTGGACAACCCAGCTCCTGCAGCATGCTGGTCGCCGACTGTCGTACACACGGCGGGATATGCAGTAGGACATGTAAGGAGGGGAAGCATGTGCTGTGTCGGCCTGACACTCTCCCCAACACAGCAGGGGCATCACACACACTACATTACGGCGTTGTCTATGATGACACCAGGAAGAAGATTGCTTTCAGTGATGTGAAGGAGAACAAAGTGATGTCGACGTTAGACAATGTAGACTCTAGGCTGCCACTGTGGCCGATGTTCGGGGTGTATATGCCCTCATCGGGTAATGTCAGCATGACACTTGTAGTGGGCAGCGACATCAACATGACAGAGGAGAAGAAAGCCATGATTGTTAAGGCGCTGTCGTGATGGTGACAATGATTGTTAAGGCGCTGTCGTGATGGTGACAATGATTGTCAAGGCGTTGTCGTGATGGTGACAATGATTGTTAAGGCGTTTTCGTGATGGTGTCAATGATTGTTAAGGCGTTGTCGTGATGGAGACAATGATTGTCAAGGCGTTGTCGTGATGGTGACAATGATTGTTAAGGCGCCATCGTGATGGTGTCAATGATTGTCAAGGCGTTATCGTGATGGTAACACTGATTGTCAAGTCGATGTCGTGATGGTGACAATGATTGTCAAGGGCTGTAGTGATGGTGACAATGATTGTCAAGACGCTGTCGTGATGGTGACAATGATTGTCAAGGCACTGTCGTGATGGTGACAATGATCGTGATATGAACACACAGAATTTGTTGCAGACACTCACTGCTCACAACCAACTACATGACTTTAACATGTCTTCTCTGTGAAAGGTGTTCATCTTCGTGTGTACAAATATCACACAGTAAACAGTGTAGTGTGTACACAACACAAAACCAGAAGTTTAACTTATGATCTCCAACACCTATCAACTATAACCCCCCGAATCTGTAATCTTGATGTGATATGTGTAAATGTATATAACATTTAGATAAAAGGTAAAACGTTTTTGTTTATTTGTATGTTCGTTGTTTAACGCCACACTCAACAATATTCCAGCTATATGATGGCGGTCGTTAACTAATCGAGTCTGGACCAGACAATTCAGTGATTGGCGTCAAGAGCATCCATCTTCGCAATTGGGATACGATGGCATGCATCAACCAAGTCAGCGAGCCTCACCATCCAATCCTATTTGTCCCCTCTTACAAGCATAGTCGCCTCTCACAACTTGCATGTGTTGCTGAAGACCTATTCTGACTTTGATCTTCATGGGTGACGTAAATCTATCATGGTACATGGTACGACACACAATCAGGCAAGTCGCCGAACCTGACCAATCGATGGATGCTGTCGCCTCGTTGTGCATGCTGACAGGGGATAGCAGTGGGATGTCTTTAGATGTTTATCAAACAAAATAAAGTAAGTGACATTGCAATAAGCTATTGTTTTGAAAATAATATTTTACTTAAAACTTGCTGATTTGCCGGACGAAGGAGGGCAGTTTTAAAGATGGAGGGCTTCTGCGAATGATTATTACCAGCACAAATAGCGTTACCGTTATTATAGCTAAAATAGATAGAATTTGTTTTCAGCTAAATATAAACATCAATATCGGTTTTGAAATATTTACTGCAATCAACAAACAACGAATGCCACTAAAGAACGAATCAGATGACAACGGGAGTCAAGCAATATGAGGGCATTATCAAGTTACAATGGTCCACTCATTTTTGATAAAACGCGGGTAGTTTAACGATTATTCTCCCCATTCTAGCTATAATGCTTGTCATCGTATCCCAATTGCGTAGATCGATGCTCATGATGTCAATCACTGAATTGCTTGGTCAAGATATGAATATTTATAGACCGCTGTCATATAACTCGAATGTGTCGTTAAACAACAAACAAACTAAAAAATGCATGGGCGTGTGATGACATAGTTTGTAGCAATATGCCGGGGAACACCAGAAATGGACTTTACACATTGTCCCCATGCATGTGGACAATCAATGTGAAAACTTTAACCATTATAACCTGATTTTGTGATATTATTTCGCAGTGTTCCTCAATAACATTTGTTGAATATGTGTACAGTTTCCGAATACGATTTCAAGGCAACAAGCTTATATCATGTGGAGATGAAGGTTGAAATAACTCATAAGCTGTTTCATATTTAGTAACATAATGTGAAACATAGTATATACCTTATGCATGTGCTGCCACTAACACTTTCACCACCAACACCACCAACACCACCAACACGACCACCAACAACACGCAAGACCACTTACACCACTGACAACACCAACACCAACAAGAGCAAGATCAACACCAACAACACAAACAACAACATCAGCAACAACATCAACACCACAACCAACCCCAGCAACAACACCACCGACACGACCACCAACAACACGCACGACCACTAACACCACCAACTACACCAATACCAACAACAGCAAGATCAACACCAACACCACAAACAACAACATCAACAACAACACCAACCCCAGCAACAAACACCACCGACACGACCACCAACAACACCAACACAACACCAACAACGACACCCCTCCCCCCTTCCTCCGTGTGGAAGGAGGTGGAGAATACATCACCCCAGGTGCACCTGCTGCGACTAAGAAGACCACGAGTTAACAACAGAAGACAACCACGACTTATGGAAGAGAAACTGTGTTAATATAAACAGCAGGATTATGACTGCCTTGATTCTTTGATGAGTTGATGGTATGCCGGGGGGATGAAATAACCTTGGTCACGGTTGATCGACGGTTGGAGTCTTTTGATGTTGATGGCTTCTTGTATTTTTGTGATTTTGAAGTCTTTGAGGTTGGTGGTGAGGTCTTTTGACTTTATCCCACTGGATGCTTTGGCTTGGGTTGTCATGGGTATGGTTTGGTTATCGCCGTCTGACGTAACGTCATTGGATTCCCCTACCGAACTAGACGTACATGTACATTTGTAGTTGCGTCGTTTAAGCTGTCTGACGTAACGTCGTCGGATTCCCCTACCGAACTAGACGCACATGTAGTTGCATCGTTATCGCTGTCTGACGTAACGTCGTCGGATTCCCCTTCCGAACTAGACGCACATGTAGTTGCGTCGTTTAAGCTGTCTGACGTAACGTCGTCGGATTCCCCTACCGAACTAGACGCACATGTAGTTGCGTCGTTATCGCTGTCTGACGTAACGTCGTCGGATTCCCCTACCGAACTAGACGTCAATGTATTTGCGTCGTTATCGCAGTCTGACGTAACGTCGTCGGATTCCCCTTCCGAACTAGACGTACATGTAGTTGGGTCGTTATGCCAGTCTGACGTAACGTCGTCGGATTCCCCTTCCGAACTAGACGTACATGTAGAAGCGTCCCTGTCTCCGCCTGACGTGTCAGCTTCGCTACCCCCTTCTTCCGAACTTCAATTTTTTTAAAGAGAGAGGCAAACATTTCTATCATCATATTATACTGAATGGACAACTATTATAAAACAAACACACAGGATCTAAAGAATGTATCGAGATTTATTGTAAAAATGTCAATTAGTATTAAAAATGCTAGGTAATCACATGTTGTTATTAACTGCCATTTTGTCTGCTATTTGTACATATACATAATTTTTTAGTGTAATGTGCTCTTGTAGCACCTTTTGTGTTTTTTTAGAATAATCTGATTCTGATTCTTAACATACTACATTTTTGTAGAGATTTCTTATGATTATGGAAATATTTTTTTGCATTTTTAGTTAAATGCAATCTATAAAATAACATTATGTTACTGATCATTATACTGTTATTTGCTTACAAGTTTGTACGTAAATTAAATATTTTACTTTTTGTAGTCGCGCTGTGGATGAAATACTTACGTTTCCGAAAGGTGGTGAGGTGAAATGGGGTTTAACTTCGCGTCTAATATGATTACACTTATAAAGCGACTTGCATGTGTGTGCGTGCGTGCGTGCGCGTGTGCTTGTACTAGTCCGGACTAATGACGATGTTATATTGCTGGCCCACTGAGATACCACGCCTCAGTTTAACATGAATACCAAAATCAGACACAGTATACTGACTCTGAGCCGACCAGGCCTTGTTGCCGAGCGCCAGGCAGTGTAACAACAAGTATCATTTTTACCAACGACGCCGAATGTGCTATAATCTCGTATGTAAATCATCATTGTAAATTAATGGTCCCGATGCAATCTCACGCAATAAGACCTCAGCAATACATGGTAACGTTGCCAGCTTTGGCGGCTGGTTGTATCGAGTTACGGCTGTCTTATTTCTTATATTGGATATTGGATTCCAAACACGGGTTATCACAGAATGTTATGGAGTTGACAGTACCTCGACATCGGAAAGAAGCGTTCGTAAAATAGCACGACTACAATTTAACCGAGAATGCTGTGTTGATATAAGATCTTGGATTATTATTGCTCTCCTTTTGGTGTGTGAGGACATGTTATACCACATCACATTTTTTTTTTAAATGTGTGTGTGAGGGGGGGGGGGGGGGGGGGGTGGGGGGGTTAAGAGTATATTTGGGGATGCATACAGTATTTCATCACTAAATGCATTATCATCGTCAGCATATAACGAATATACCGCTAGGTTATGTTTTAGTCTAAGCATCTATTCACAAGCTTTGGATCCGTTAAGATCCGGGTTGATATAGATCAGCAACCCATCTTTGCCGCAAAAGTTGACTATGCTTGTCGTAAGAGGCGGCTAACGGGACCGGGTGATCAGGTTGGCTGACTTGATTGATGCACGTCATCGTATCACAATTGCGTGGATCGATGCTGTCACGTTTTGAATCAACCACAAACACAAATTAAGTTTTAAGAAAGATTTATTTCTTCCCTTTAGTTAATTTTAAAACCCAATAACAATATTTAAATGCAAACTAATACCACATTTACTAAACTAGCTTAACTTATCCTATCCTACTTCTATTACAAATGTCCTACTACTAACAATACTAACATCTACTACTAATACTAATATCTTATTACTAACAATACAAATATCTACTACTTACAATACAAATATCTACTACTAACAATACAAATATCTACTACTAACAATACAACTATCACGATACTACTATCTAATACTAATAGTCTACTTCTAACAATGCTAACTCAGCACTAATACAAATGTTCTAAAAATAACACAACTAGTACACATTAATAACTTCGTGGGTGTACATTTATACAACAACAGAAAAACACACCCAAAAAAATCAAAGTCACTCTACTGTCACTGTCACATCACCTGTATACAGAAAGCTCAAGAAGTCTGAAGTCACTGATCAGTTCACACGAGGATACTTCCTCATAATATAGAATGGTGATCTTTACACCCAGGCGATGTTTTCCCCACGGAAGGGTGTCACTTGGATGCCACGGCTGTGTTCATCCTATGATGTGCACTGCAACGGAGATACTTCTCTCCTTACGTAGTGTCGGAGAACGTCTCTCCTCACGTAATGTTGGAGGATCGTCTTTCCTCCTACGTACTATCGGAGGTACTTCTTCCCCCCTACGTACTTGGTTATAAGGATAACCGGCCAGTTCCGGGACACTGCAATATAATACAAGCAACTATAGTTACTGAGGTATGTGTCACTACCTTACAATACATACAACAATGCACCAAAACTCCGATTTACATTTTACTGAGTGGAACTGTTTATTCTTTGATCATGTTGTTGTTATTGTTACAGTGGCTTTACGTTATTACAATCTATATGTGTATATAATTACATTTGAAAACAATGCATAGCTCAAAATTCTATCCTCTAAAATACAATTCTACATGAAACAAATAAATGTAAAAACTTACGCCAACCAGAGTAGAAATCTCCCACAATATTAGTCCATGCCTGAAATGAACATACTGATTCTGGCTGACTGTACAAATTATTACCCTGCCCCGCTATTTAAACTGACCCCAAAGTCCAAGCTATCCCTGACCTCCCTATTGTTACA